ATTATAGCATCCATCGAATTGAGTAGATGATAAATCATTAAGTAGTATGAAATATCGAAAATTTGACATGATTCGAAACGCAATAAGTCTGTTCATAGCTTCATGTTTCATGGTTATTAAAATTCGAATGCTTTGTCACTGCATTAATTTAACTCCTGGTGCAATCTTAATTCCTGATTGATACCGTCGATCCTGAGGTAACAGTACAGAGCCTCGACTGCATACCGTAGCGAGTATCTATCTTCAATCTACTTAGTCACGTCGAACGAATTCCATGCCAATCTTAATTAATAGTTCGCATCGACGCCCAACGTCTCACTCGCGGGTTTTCAAACGAACCGCGCAATTAAATCCTTCAAATCCTAACGGAATCCACACACACACAGACTTGCAAACCATCCACACATATTCTATAAAATAAAAAACTATCAAAAATTCTACTAATTTTGTTTTTATTTTTGTTAGAGAAAAATGTTTGCATGGAATTTGGTGCTTACCTGGCCGACGTGAAGCGCCACTAGGGCCGAGCAGAGTACCGACACAACCGCACTGGCGAACGCGTGAATATTGGTCCTTCTCACTGGCATTTCGAACGGTAGATGATGCGTGCCGCACTAAAAAACTGGCTGTTGCGTTTTCTCGACTGGAACCTTTGCCCAGTAGAAAGCTCACGTCACATTTTCATTAGACCCCGAGAACAGTATCATCGTAGTAACCTCGGATCGAATAAGAACGTCTAAACACGCGGATGTTCCGTGGGTCGCGCGCGGTACTCTCGTGGTCTCTCGGAAACTCGATGGAGTCGAATGTTCCACTGGCGCAGTAATGACTGTTCCTCCTGAGCTGCCCCCAGGGACGCTCAGGTGTTCTGCGTTTTTGGTGGGGGAGAGATCGGGCCGCGGCCATTCCCTTCTCATCCGATGTGTTCTATCTATGCTATCCACGCGTTCAAGTCCCCAGAACCAACCATCTCCAGCCGGAGCTTCTCGTGGTTCGTGCCTGAGGTCAGCACTCTACACGACGTCCGTCGATAAGCCAGTCGCTCGCCTTACCAACGGTTGCTAACAGTAGAAGACTTTGGTTCATGTCATGGCTAACTACATTTGGGAATCGAAAGGAAGCATAAGTAGGGATGAGTGGACGATGAATGAGCATGTGTGTGCGTGTTGTATGGACTGGAGAGTCACTGTGGTTGTTGCATGAGATGGAAGGAGAGGCTAGAGTAGAGGAGATGGGGAGCCAGTGTGGGGAACTGGCCATGTTTAGTATGCGATGTGTGTATGTATACACACAGTATTCATAGTCGTTGCTCATTCTTCAGATCCTTTGCTATCCCTGCCTATCTCATATTTCCAGTCTTGTACAAAAAACAGGGATTTAAGCAAATGCTTAAGGCGAACTTAAATATAAGCAACAACTTTGAATACCTAATTATAGTGCCCTCAAAATGTGGATCAGTGGGCCACTAGCAATGGCTAGAACTGCTAATTATGGATCATGATGGTTTCTCTCAGAATCACATTGACCCAGGACATAAAAAGCAGTAGATGATAAGCAAGTGGCTAATTTTAGCATAATTACCGAAAATTAATACTAATTTTCTGTTGAAAAACCAATCTGTACATTCGTTTAACGTTTCGAATTTAAATAAAAGTCTGCAGTCTGATAAAAAAAAGGAGTAGCATCGGAATCAGAGCCTCTCGCGTTAATCGATATCCTAAATTAATATGGAGAGCGAGTGGATGCTGATTTCCTGGTCTGACGAACCACTCGACTGGGTCCGGGTTTTCCGCGGCCGGCTGCATAAAAGAATTAATGCAGCGACCCAGTTACTCGATTCCTCGGCGTTGCACTTACCGAGCTTTTGTGCCCGGCTATGGAGATCGTACTTTGAAATCTTGCGGCAGATAGAATTCCTATTGTTCTCTACCGGTGGAACGGGGACGTGGCGCGTGTCAGCAACCTGCAAAATAAAACTCCCTTTCAAACAACATTTTCTTTCACTCCGCTACGTCTCACCCTTCCCCCTTCGCGAGATTAAGAGTTGCAGATTTTTTAATTGGCGCGTCGAAGATTGAAATTTAATCCTTAATTGGTCGGATTTTAATTGAAAATTTAATCAACTATTTGCAAGCCTGAGGTCAAAGGGTCATAGCAATTATTATAGCAATATATATTAAATCCACAGTCTATNATTAAAAATCTGTGCAGTTGGACTGTATTCCTTAAAAGAAAATACGATTCTCCATGAAAATCCTTAAATTCTAATAATTAGCCTAAGACAAAGAAGCATTTTCAGATGTCCCCTGCGGAATTCTCCGGCGAGTAGCAAAAACCGAGTGTCCCATTACCGAATCTTTTTGATGTCCGATGCCAATGAACCGGAGGAGGCCGAGATACAGAATCACGTCGCAGCCTGACGTTTCATTTTCGGTCAGCAGGTGGAGCGTGTTTGACGCGCATCGAACGGGGACGACGTCGGGCTGTACAAACACCGGGCGGGTGCCGGGGTTCGTTTTTCTCCCCTCGCCGCTGGCCGAGGCCACTCAGGAAGGGATGATAAGGACGACGCAGACGCGGACCGTATCGACCGGCTAACCCTCCGGGTAACACCCTCGCGATCCTCGGCCGAGGCTCACTGCTTCACTGGCAAACTAGTGGGTAGTACACGCACGCGACACAGGTGAGTACATCCGAACGCACTTGCGTTTTAAAAAAAAAAAAATAATAATAGAGAAACGTGTAATCCGAACGAGCAAGTTGAGGAATAGTACAAGTGAGGACAGTTTCGTTACAAGTGACTCGGTCGATTGGTTCCTGAAGTTCCAGAACTGGTGTTCGGTTTGGTGCTCGTTGGTACCCTTAGCCGGGACGTGGGTCGGAACCTGGGGCAACAGAATTGATTTTTACGCAATTCATATTTCATCCACATTTTTTTTTTTTATACACTATCTTAAATCGATTGCTCACAGTGTCTAATAAGTATTTGATGTCACTTGTTGGGATTCAGGTGTAAATTAAATTTTAATCGGTTTTCTTCATCAGGAAGTGAAGTAACGATTTTTTGTTAACATGTTTCGTTCGAATTTGCGCGGGAGGCTGCAGGCTTTAGTGTTTTGATCGATGACCGGGTATGTGGTACTAACCGGATTAATGTGAGTGATTCTACGCGTGGACTCATGCTACTTTCACGTGACGTCTCTTCCTTGTCTGTCATTTTCAATTAAATTTCGTTGTGTTCTGACCCCGTCTCATTAATTATAAAAATTCTATTAATGATTCATAGTTAAGACTGAGACTGTCACTCATAGAATTTATGTCATTTATATTTGTTATACTAAATGGAAATAATTTATGATTTAATTCAATAATGAAAATTAAATATTTTTAGTTAAGGGTTGATTTTTTTTAGAACAAAATTCTTGCATGATTAAAGATTGATTTATTAATTGAAGGTATTTATTATTTATTATTATAAATTATTAACATATTCATTTCTTCATTTTTTGAGATATGAAACTGTGTCGATGATTTTTCGGTTTTAATTTTTGTATGAAATTGCTTTTTTTATTTTCGTGGAAGCACGTTTTTGTGCGCAGCTTTCGGCGGTGAATGCGCCTGCCCTGTCCTAGTCTAGGGACTCTTCCATCATCGATTATTACTAGAGCGATGTTAAACCCTGTAGAGAATGAACTGTAGATTTTTAAATCGATGATTGATGAGAATTGTTGAATTTCTTAGGAATTTGTTTTAAGGGTTGATGTATGTAGGGCAAATTGTTCAGGTTGAAGAATTGATCGAGTTTCTTTAAACTTTACACTCGGTGGGTTTCAACAGGAGGGTGCGCCGTGAAATCTATTGATTCAAAAGTTTGTCCCTTCATCCCGAGGGGTGTATGTGGGTTTCGATTCAAAACACCATTAGTAGTAGTAGTCGTAATTGTGTATCGACGTTCTCGTATAAGTAGGGACATTTCATCCCCTAAATATAAAAATACAAATTCACAATTGATTTCATTTTGGGGAAAGAATTTCATCCCCTAAATACAAAAACACAAATTGTGTTCTGTATTTAATTNATTAAATTATCTACTTGCTACATATATATATATTTATTCTGTTTTGCAGATTTCAACTTGGATTGTTTAGTTTCTCCTTCCTCACCTCTCTTATTTCATCCTTTCCTTTCGGATTACCTTACGTTGAAGCATTATTCCGCTGAGTACGAACAGAAGCCGAATCGGTGTAACGCTAGAAGAGCGAAGATAGCCGAGAACAATCCCGGATCCTGCGTTCCCGGAACCCCTGCCCGCCCGGAGGACCACTGGAATCCTGTGGTTCTCGCCGAGGGGACGAAGTCCGTCGTTAAACCAGCAAGATTACCGGCCGCGGCGGTTGCGCCAAATACTGTGGCACAGCCCCTTCACCCGGCAACATTTCATTCTCCAGCTTTCGACAGTCCTTCACTTCAAATGTTAACTACCTGAAACGGAGGTGAGTCAGAGGACAAGAGAACGCGACGTCTAAGTCCGTTTGCATGATACTGCATTTCTATAAGTGTTTTATCAATATTAATAGTGTTTCGGATTATAATTATTCAGGTAAATGTTCTGGTTTCTGTTCATACTTTACTAATTTCTATGGCAAAGTACAAAAGATACACTGGCAAACAGCTCGAGAGTCTCGTTGTGACTAAGCCACTTGATTTGACTTGAACAGACACTTAGGATTAGGGACAACAGGCTCAAATAATACTAGTTTAAGTACCTAAGATAGGCGACGAGGTATAAGCAGTTCAGTAAACAGCAGGGCTATTGTCCCTTGAAGGCAATAAGAGACATAATCTCAAGCTGCTGTACCGACGACCCAAAGTATAAACGACTACCTGATTTCTTTTATGACCTCGTCTTACCTGTGAGAGTACGAGGGATCCATATCCAAGCTGCCTAAAAACGAGTGACCTATTCATTCTCAAGTACCCTAAGTTTGACATTGTAATTGTGAGGGACAGCATTCTTCAGTCGTTGTGTTTGGTCAATGTACCTGTTTGACACTTGTTTCTGTGTCTGCATCCACAGAAGATATCTATTTCAAGTACCTGACCATTCCTTAGGTCACGCAAAGGATCCATGACCAAGCAAACCTTAAGCC